AAGCTTGTGTCCCTTCGGTCATGTTTTGTAGGATTGGCTTTTACTTTTTGATGTGGTCTTCCAAGCACAAACATTTTAAAATTTTATGAAGTCCAATTCATCTCTTTCCTCTTTTGTCCCTTGTGCTTTTCATGTCATATTCAAGAAGGTTTCGCCTAACTCAATATCATGAAAATTTGCTTCTCTAATTTCTTCTAAGTTTTATAGATTTACTCCTTACTTTTAGGTTGTGGGTGTTCTTTTGAAGTTTTTATAACAGTGGGAGTAAAGTTACTGGAAGCATATGCTGATGCTACAACACTAGCATCTGTATGTAACATAGTTTGTATATGTTATAATGATAAATGAGTAAGATTCTCTGAGTGCTCACTGGACATGTTGAATTCTAAAGCATATTGCTAAATGGTTTTGATATTTCCCCTCTTTCTCTTTTATGAATCTATTATTTTATATTCCATTCAATAAGTATTAGTGTATTTCTGGTCCTATTCTTGCCTTATCTGGGTCCATTGCCTAATAAGGTTGGGAACTATTTGATATAGTAAATACTAACTTCGTAGCATGGCCAATTGACTTTCTCACTTTTAACAATAGAACAATTTTTACAGTAGAGAGAATGTAGGTCACTGCATGTGGGAGATTAGAGAAGAACAAGGAGAATATCTAAATAAGATGTCTGTAGCATACCATATGCTTGTCATATGAAAAATGACATAAAACCTTTGATGTATTTTAGGATCAGAGTCTATGGCTATGTATCCAGACTTTTTACATTTGAGAATATGTTACTGATTTGCAAACTATTAATATGATTAGCCCCTCATAGTTAAATACTTTGGGAACTTTTTTGATTATGGCTTTTAAAAGTAATTGTTACTTCTATATTCTGTAAATTCTTCATTTACTTTAGGGACCCAGTACTCATGATATATAATATTTATTATTGTTATGTGTACTGCAATTACCTGTCCATATACTTTGGTTCTCTTTAGATCTGTTTTAAAATTCTGAACTGTATTGTGTAAATTACTCTTTTGCTTTAAGTACCTAACACTTATAATGTATATGTTATTTTCTGGATCTGATGTGATAAAAAATGGTAGTCGGCAACCTTTAAAAGTTAATCCTCTTCAAAAAAGAAAAGGTTCATTCATGACCAAATTGAATTCCACTTATTAAATTAAAATATGCATTTTCAATTAATATTAAAAGTGAGCCAGAATAACCTAAAGAAGTAAATATTGCTTCTTTTTATTGAGCAGAAATATGCTAATATTAGGTGATTGGTTGGAAAATTATAAGAGCAAACTCTTAAGAAGCTCTTATGTAGATCATTATGTCTCCAAACGTGGTCATTTCTCTCAGCATCTCCATTTCATTTATTTGCGGACATTACTGACACCTTAAAAATTAAAATTATTCAAAACACCCCATTATGCAAAATTTGATCTTAAAATACCAACAGGTCATGCTCTTCCTATTTCTTATACCGTTATTGCCCCACTTCCATTGCATTCACAAGGAAGTCATTGGCGCCTATCCCTCTTCCTTACTACTGTATATGGTGATACACCAATTCTGTCAAATATTTATTTCGTGATGTGCCATATATCTCCCTCCTTCTTTTCTACCTGAACCACCATTTCCCAAGGTCAGATTCTTTGTATTTTTCTCTTGGAATATTTAAATAACTATCGACTATCTTTTTGCCTCCATTGCTATCCATCATTTATACTGCAGACTGAAAGTATCTTTATAAAACAAAGAGAGTCATGTCCCTGTGCCCTCAAAATGTCACCCATGTAGACTAAAATCACACTCTTTAGCATGATATTTAAACCCCTTTCAGCTCAATCTCTAAGACTACCTGATACCTTTTCCTGCTACGTCAACTTCCTCCCTGATTATGAAATGTACCATGCACATATTCTCATTTCTTCTGTGTTTTTGTTTATGGTGTTCCTTCAGTCTGAATGCTTTTCTCCCTTAATTGTTATATTTCCATTCTTTATAGCTCAATTTAAGTCCTCCCTTTTCTGGAGCTCTCCTTATTATGTTCAAGTTAGAGTAAATATTCTTTTTTGCTTTCTGCCGATAATGCATTTCTTATATAACTTTATGCAACATTTATTTCATTTTAGCATAGAAATTTATACCTGTGTTCCTCAGTCAGACACACCTCGGTTCAAATCCTGCCTCTACTGCTTACTGCATCTACACTTTTGGGCAGTTGATGTCATTTCCTAAGCTGCTTCCTCATCTGTTAAATTGTGATAATATTTGTACATAATTTGCAGGTCTCTTTTTGTGTTAAAGTCTAATGACATTGGCCAGGCGTGGTGGCTCATGCCCGTAATCCTAGCACTCTGGGAGGCCGAGGCGGGTGGATCGTTCAAGGTCAGGAGTTCGAGCCCAGCCTGAGCAAGAGCGAGACCCCGTCTCTACTAAAAAAAGAAAGAAATTATTTGGACAACTAAAAATCTATATAGAAAAAATTAGCGGAGCATGGTGGCACATGTCTGTAGTCCCAGCTATTCGGGAGGCTGAGGCAGTAGGATCGCTTGAGCCCAGGAGTTTGAGGTTGCTGTGAGCTAGGCTGACGCCACAGCACTCTACTCCGGGCAACAGAGTGAGACACTGTCTCAAAAAAAAAAAAAAAAAGAAAAGTCTAGTGACATAATATCAGCATGGTAAATAATATCTGTGTGTATATTCTAGGTACTTACCACTTGTCTTTCTTCCCCAGTAAACAGTAAGCACTTTGAGGACAGAATATTATTTTTATTCATCTTAGTACCCATTCCAACATGTTGGGCCCAAAAGAAAATCTCTTGTTCAGTTTTACTTTTGCTCGTCGTGATTCATAGAACATGTTGAACCTAAATCATTAAAATTAACATATGAATTTAGTGCTACATTACCTCCACAAAGGAGTTGGGATGACTTAGGAGATGCATAAAGAACAAAAGAGGGAAACATAAATAACAATATTAAGCTATTCATTTGAATAATTGAAGAGTTTACTGTCACCATTATGAACTCAAGTGAAACAGAAGGTATAAATAAGAAAATAATAAAGCTTGTGTCCCTTCGGTCATGTTTTGTAGGATCTCGTCTTCGCCAAGAAGACTTTCCCCCTCGGATCGTGGAGCACCCTTCGGATGTCATCGTCTCTAAGGGAGAGCCCACCACTCTGAACTGCAAGGCGGAGGGCCGGCCAACGCCCACCATTGAGTGGTACAAGGATGGGGAGCGGGTGGAGACTGACAAGGATGATCCCCGTTCCCACAGGATGCTTCTGCCCAGCGGATCCTTATTCTTCTTGCGCATTGTGCATGGACGCAGAAGTAAACCCGATGAAGGAAGCTACGTTTGTGTTGCAAGGAACTACCTTGGTGAAGCAGTGAGTCGAAATGCATCTCTGGAAGTGGCATGTAAGTGAACTTAATGAACATGCACATTTACTTTTATTTATTTTTAGTAGACTTTGATTTGTTTCCGTAGATGCTAAAGACCTAAAGAATAAAAAAACCAACACATTCTAAATAATTTTACTTTGCCTCCTTAGAAATCTCATCAAAATAATACCAAGTCAGAGTGTTGCAATAAATTTGTTTATATTAAATTAATGTGGCGATTATGTTGTTATATTATATGAAAGCAAGGTGTCAATCATGCTGTTCATATTTAAAATTTGAATTATTAATGAGAAATATAATCAATTATTAAAGTTGGCTATGTTAAAATGAAAAGTTTATGTGTAACATGGAACCAAATACAAGGCATAAATTCAATATTGTCCCATTTCTGTTATCTATCTGTATATAAGTAACTACTTTATATATATACATATACATATATATTTACTTCTACATCTAACTTTTATCAGGCAACTTTAAAATATTCTATTATTCTCTAGCTTATATTATCTGTTTTACTTCTAGGCTGAATTCAGGAATTATTACCCTAGGTATGGAGGGGTGAACACCAACAATATGTGATAAAGGTCATCAGAGAAGAAATCTGCTTTTTGTGGGAACTGAATGTTCTTATATAGGACGGTTTCTCATTTCAACTTATTCTTGGTAATCAGCAATAGCTGATGACTTGCCCTGCCTTTGGCGCTTTTACGTATTTATTTATTCATCGCATAGCCCAAATAGCAGTGGTAAATCAAGATATCCATGTTTTGCATGCATTTGAATATTGACTCCATAAATTCAGGGATCATTTTCCAGAACAAATTAAAAAATATGATGTATTTTTTTTCTGATGTATAGGTGAGGATTTGGGGTTGTAATTTCTACAATATCATAAGATTTTGTATTATCTATTCTGAGGAAAGACTTTATCTGCAATTAATTGTGAATAAGATGGCAACAATTATTGCCTAAAGATGTTTGTACTTTTCAACTTTCTGGTTGTAAAGTAGATATTCAAAGATAAGAGAGTTGAGACATTTCAGGCTGCTTGAGTCTTATTTATATAGCTGGGAGACAAGTGCTCTTAATAAATAATAGCTCATGGGCCCATGTCTTTCTTTTGGTAAACAAAATAATACTATTTCTTTCTTTTCTTTTCTTTTCTTTTTTTTTTTGAAAGACAGGGTCTTGCGCTGTTGCCCAGACTAGAGTGCAGTGGCTTGATTATAGTTTACTCTAACCTCTAACTCTTGGGCTCAAATGATCTTCCTGCCTCACTCAGCCTTCTGAGTAGCTGGGATTGCAGGTGCACATCACCATGCCCAGCTATTTTTTTCAATTTTTTTTTGTAGAGACAGGGTCTGGCTATGTTGTCCAAGCTAGTCTCTAACACCTGGCCTCAAGCACTCCTTCTACCTTGGCCTCCCAAAGTGCTGGTATTACAGGCATGAGCTACTATGCCCGGCCAAATAATTTCTTAGGCAGCCATCGCAGTGAAAACTTTTGTTTTCTAGTGTCCTGTCTTCTGATTTATAGTTTCTTCTGAGAAACCTAGAACCCACTGATGCTTGAAATGTGTAACTCTAATAGGAAAAGACTAGAAGAATCTTAAGACATTCTTTTGGTTTGAGAAATACCTTGAGAGATGAGCATTAGAACTTTAACTAGCAATGTCTTCTTGCCCTGGACACCAAGTAATTTTATTTTTATAAAATGATACTTTAAAAAGCACTTAAATTAAATGCAGTTTAGTGAGATTTGAAATATATACACAAAACTTCACAAGTGCTAATATTCCTAAAGGTTCCATTTTTATCTTGAAATATCTTACTTCTGGAACTTTTCAAACATTAAAATATGACAATGACAAATTTGATTGATTTTTCCCCCACCAGATCCTTTTGTGGTAAATATGACAGACATTATTCTCCCATTTTGTAGATAAAGAAAATGAATCCCAGAATGCTTAAATATTTACCAAGATTCAGACAGTAAGTTAATGGGGAATCCTAGACCAGATCCTGAATCTTCTAATTTTTAGTTTTAGGAAATTGTGCCATATTTGAAGAAACACTCTAAATGAAATCTCATCTATTTTACATAAGTGAAGATGAAGAATATTTATGTTTTTCATAAAATTTTTTTCTACTCTGCAGCAAATAACTAGTTTAAATTCTTAACAAAATTTTACTTCTCAAAATTAAAGTTTATCTGAATTGGCCCGTCATTATATTGTTGGGCAGTTATAAACTTATTATTTTTTTCTGAGCCTTAGCTCAGTTAAAATTACTCCCAGAACACAAGCATCTTTTATTTTTATTTCATCTAAAAGGATTGCTTTCTTTCCTAATTGCATCATTAATAATGAATCAAACTGTTTTAGGAGGAAAATTTTAAACCACGATTTTTTTCATGTAATGTGACAGTAACGTTTTTTTTTTTTTAATTTTGAAATAAATGAGCTTTAAGACATGCTTGAATTACTTATGACCTAGAGAGGAAAATAAGAAAGCTTCCAAATTGGATTTAGCTAGTGAATAAAATTCTTTCTTCTAATGCCATGTCAACAGTTCATGCCATTTGAGGCATCAGAAGATCAAATAATATTCATTTATATGTTGCTCATCTCTTTCCATTAGCTCATCAGTCTTCTCTCTTTCCTTATGTATTTCATAAAAGATATTCATGTGGAATTTGGGGTCAAAACATCGTGATTTTTTAATACCTATTGGTAAGTGAGGTGTATTTTTATAAAATGATAAAGGAAAAGCTGTAGATTATATAAATGTTTGACCTTATATTTTAGAATATTCAACATACATGCTTAATCATAATACATCCAATTCTTCATCTTTTAACAAAAAGTAGATATCTGCTGGAAAGGGTGGTAAGGTATAGTAATGAAGAAGACATATTCCAATCTGTTCTTAAAGAGCTCACACTCTAGTTGGGATGACAAAGCTATAAATAATTGTCGTAACAAATTAAATAGACAATAAAGCCTATTATAGAAATACATGAAAGATACTATGGGAACTTTAAGGGGAAATATTTAATTCTTCCTAGACAGATGAGTTTGAGAAAGGATTCTAAAAAGATACATTATTTGAGCTCTGATTTGAAGGTCAGGTGATAATGTCCCAGGTGGAAATTGAAATGAAAGATCATGCTGGTAAAAAAAGTGGAAGCCTGAAAGGACACTGTATTTGAAGAACTGCAGGTAGCTCAATATGAGGTTGGGGATAGAATAAGTTGGACAGGTAGGCATGTGCTGCCTCAAAATCTAAACCTTTTTGTTATGATAAAGAAGAGTCTTTGAAAGAGAATTGAAGATTGTGTTTAAAGGGATGATGATTGAAGTCAAAGAGGAGTTAAGTAGCTGTCAAATAATTCAGAAAAGAGTTGATGTTTGAGTCTTAAACTGAAAATAGCAGTGAAGATTGAAAGGAGGAAATGGTTTGAAACATATTTAGGAATTATAAATCATATCACTTTGTGGTCAATTTGGAGGGATAGAGAGTAATTGCCAGATCTTTTTTTATTTTTGGTTGATTGGATATATAGTGCTACCATCCATAGGGAGGGGGAGGTACAGGAGAAGTAACTTCAGTGGGATTAGAAGAGCGTGGTAAGCTTCGGCTGTATTGTCTGACATACCAGTGAAATATCAAGCTTTATACCTCATGTTCCATTTAAAATAAAGTTTCTGGAATTGAGAATAGAGGTCTTTCCCAGTTAGAGGTTGAAGCCAGGGGAGTAGATAGAAGTAGATGTGATTGCCCAGGCAGGCTGTATGCAGGTAGCAATTAATAGGGCTTAGATCACTCCCATTTCTTGGAGCAGCAATATTTACTGATGGGCAAGGGAAGAAGTGTAGGAGGCTTAGGTTTGGGAGAGGTATCAGAGTGACAGAATATGGGCAATGAGGTGACCAGAAAAGCCAATAAATACATTTATTAATGAAAAAAGTGATGGAAACAATGCATATGCCACATGGTGGCCAAAAAACAGTACCAGTGGTCTCTACCAGTGAGGACAGAGCACAGCAGCTGAAGAGTGAGTTGCTGGTGAAGTGGGACTGGCAACTGCTGCCCATTCTTTCAAGCATGTAGCTCTGAATGCGGTGTAGGGAACTAGAGCAAGGTATCTCGGCCTCTGCACTACTGACGTTAGGGACTGGATAATTTTTTACTGTGGGAGGCTTGTGCTCTGCATTGTCGGATGTTGAGAAGCACCTGTGCCTTTTGCCCACAAGATGCCAGTGGGACTCCCCCAACCCTGTTGTGACAACCAAAAATGTCTCCAGACATTGCAACATGTCCCCTAGGGGACAAAGTCAGTTGAGAACCACTGATCTAGGTGTGTCTAAGTAGTCAAGAGTGTATTGCGAAGTAGCAAACAAACATGTTACAACTTTTATTGTGAAATGATTATTGATGGAAAAATGGAAAATTTTTGACCATTTTGGTTTTCATGTTAATTTAAAAAATCTTGGATTCTGTTTTAATATGAAATGTGAAATTTTATTGATTACCACCTGTTTTGACTGGCTGTGTGGAAGTCAGCCAGTTCTTTAGCATATCACATTTATTCTTTTTTTTGTTTTCCTTTAATACATGCTTCAACTTTATGTAATAGAATAATACAGTGGAAGAAAAAACTACATTCAGGACTAATCAATACAAGGGAGATTTGAATTACCTCATATTTTCTTTCATTTTTTTTTCTTGGTTTGGAATAAAAATAATCATCTAGACAGTGCTTTTTGAGTCACTTGGACTTGAGAAAAATCTTTAGGCAAAAAAGTGATTTTTAAATAGTTAGAAAACAGAATCGCAGAATACATAGGCAAGGGACCCGGCACATAAGAAGTTAATATGTAACTTTCCAGTGGGGCCACTGAGAGAGCCATGGTGTAGTTGGTGCAGGTAGGATTTCAGTTCCGAACACTAGTGCTCCGAGTGCATGGAGTAGAAGGAGCACAGAGACTGGCTGCCTGTGATGCAGGCTGA